GAAAATGAGCGAAACGGTAAAGAAAGATTGAAGGACAATGGGCAATGTTTGATATTGTTTTCGAAATTTTTTTGGGTTTTGCCATTGTTTTTATCTTCGCCGTCCTTGTTGAAAGGAAACATTTTCCAATATACACTTATGATCAGGTTTGATGGGGATACCACATAACATGGACGAAAAGGTCGCCCGACGGTAGAATGGTAAACTTTTTTGAACAAACTATAAAAGGTTACTTTTTTCAGACAAGCACATTATTTTAGTTTTTAGAACATTATAAACAAAAAACTTCCCAGTGGCTTTGATCTAAAGTCGGCCGTTTTCGAGTTGTTAAAACAAATTTAAAGACTAAAAACCCTAAAAATGGTCATCTTCAATACCTAAACACCCTGTGGAGAATTATTAATGTTGAGGTTGACAGGTGTTTTACTAAAAATCCAACCTTCTCCTATAAGACTTCCAAACGTATATTGAGCTGATTTCGTTTTAGAGCATCGATAATGTCAATTGTAATTGTACTCTGTGACATTAGAAGTGCTACACCGAGAAAAAATAATCTCTTTGTTTTCGTTAACCTTTGTTAAACTATTATCTCTTAGTTTTTGTAAAGAAAGGAGTGCCTGAGAGCTGAGTAGTACAGATATTTTTAGTAATTGCTCTTTCATTTACTATTGTTAAGCATAACAAGATGCCTCGAGTTCGAAGACGTCCAAATTATCCCCATGTTAGTCACTTTGATAAGGGTAGAATTATTGCCTATCGATATGTTGGTTGGTTATGGCAAAATCGGCCGCCGTAATAATTGTTCTGCAATGACGGTAATGCGTGTGTATCGTGTATGGACAAAAAAAGGTAGAGGAACACGAAGAAGGCTAACTGGTCCATCGAGGCGTACCACAGAGCATCAAGGTAGGCGCCACAGACAACTAGCTCTACGAGACCGTTTTGCTACTACGCGTCAGATCGCTGACCTCTCGCTGGAGAAGAAGGTGTACCTGTTACTATGCCTACACTCTATCGCTGCATTCGAGCCTTTGGTCTTTTTTCATACCGTCCACGGTTAGTGCTTCCCCTGACTGCGGACCACTGTCGTCAACGTTTAAGCTGCAGCTGAGAACCGCAACATTGGGAGGCAGAATAGCATAATGTCATCTTCAGCGATAAATCGCGATTATATCTAGGTACGCACGATGGTCGTAGAAGGGTAAGACGCCGCCGTGGAGAACGGCGTGATATTGGATTTGGTGTTGAGATGCATGTACACAGGACTGTTAAAGTAATGGTTTGGGGGTTATTGCCTACGGTAGCCGATCACCCCTCCTCTTTGTTCAAGGCAATATGATTGCTGCGCGTTATGTCGATGATATCCTACAAACCACTTTACTGTTGTATCTAAAGGACCGCCCAAATGTCCTTTTTCGGCAAGACAACGCACGTCCACATATTGCTCATCTTACTACGGATTTTCTTCAAGAAGCAGGCGTTAATGCTTTGCCGTGGCCATCTCGTTCACCGGATTCAAATCCCATCGAACATGTGTGGGATATGATGGGGAGGAGACCACGCCACAGCTAATCCACAAGTTCGAGTTGCTTGGAATGAGATACCACAACCAGACATCGATCATCTCATTTTGTCCATGCCTAGACGTATACAGGAGTCTATTCAGCTGCGAGGTCGCCCAACACATTATTTTTTTCTTATTCCTTGCCAATAAAGTTTCGTGAAAATGTTAGCGTTTCATTCTTGATGTAAGAATACTTCACTGTCAAAAAATCAAGCTGAAGAAATTATTTTTTCTGGGTGAAACACTTCTAATGTCAATGAGATAGATTCGGGCTTTTACTCCCCTTAAATCGTTTTATGATCAACATCTGTTTACCGCAGCATTTCCGGTGTCATATTGCTTGCAATACCTAAAATTTTCTAAAAATTTTGCAATAACAATGTTTATACAGTATGATCGTACACAATAACTCATGGCGAATCACGCTCGCGTTCCAGAAGCACATACCGTATTGTTCAACTTCAATTATACATTTAATTGTGGGCTATTCAGTATTTATTTCATTCAGAAAGTCGTCCATATCTTTCAGAAAAAATATGGTCAACGCATCAGTGCATTCTTTGTGTTGTTGTATATCACAAATAAAGAAAAAGCGTCTTTACTTTTTAAAATTTAATTTATTATTTTCATATATATATTAAATTATTACAAGACTTGCAACTAATTTATTACACATGTATAGTGCTGACTCATCATCCGACTCTGAATCTGTGCATTTATCTTCCAAGCGACGAGTCCAGACCGGTCCCGCGTTTTCTGGGCCGAACTGGATGCCTGCTAGATGGCGGTTGCTTCTTCTCGACAAGGGCCGAATCATCTCAAAGGGCGGCATAATTCTGGTTGAGTACGTCAATGTACGAGAGCGTGTTACTGCTACTCCAGTATGCAGTCTGCTTCAGAATGTTCTGGAAATATATGACATAGCACAAGACTAAGTGAAGGAGTCATCGCTCTTGAGGTGTTCATGTATTATCTCTCGCATTCCTAATCCATGAACGATGCAATCAACAGGTGCTCTGGGTGGGTTTTTGCGTTCTTAATATCGCTTTGGAGAGGCTGGATGTCTTTGTAAGAGCCTATTCCAGGAGGTCCTTTACTCTGCTGGGTCTACTCAGTGCTATTTTAAAATAATTTAATGATCACTTTGCGGGATAAGGACGGGATACTGCCGTTCGTGCTTATTTTTGTTGTCCATGGTTCGTTGACTGGGTTCGGGTGAACAAAGCAGCAAGTTTAGTTTGCAAAATATAGGGTATCCTCAAAGTTGGCACTGTCCTTTACATGGCGTGTAGATCTTGAAAAAATGATCAGTTTTTTCTAATAGCATACACGCCAAAGTATTAAAATCTTAAAATTACCGAAATCTGGTCCTGCACCTCGGACAGATCACACATGAACACGTATAATGGGAATTTGTACTCAATTCAGCCTCGCTGGTACGGATCGGTTTTAATAAAACAAAACAAAGGCGGCACACTCATTCAGCAATATCGGAGTTGTCCATATTAGGTACTTTAACTTACGATGAGTGTCTTAAAATGCTGTGGCGGCTCCACGAGTGCATGCAGATCGTTTTTGAAGATTCTTCGGGTTTTCTTTTTGTTTGGGGCGAAATCTAATGCTTAGTGTATAAAGCTGAGTTAAACAAGGTTGACAAACTGTGTATGTGAATTTGGCAATCTGCTGCGCTGATTTGGGAAACTTACTCCATTCTAAAAGCCGACACTGATGATTGTCTACGTCAATCAGATACATATTGTGTATTTGAATCTACTGCAGACAACTTTGAACAATATTTACAAGTAACAGACCTGTACTTGAAATTTCCTTTCGATGAATGGTGAGCACTTCTTTATTTACATTTTTTTACTTTTTCGGTATTGGACAAGACCACCGAGGGTACCGGAATGTTAGTAAGAGCTCTATATATGTGGTTTTTGCGTTTAACGGCAGCAAAGCTGGATAATCATCAGCACGAAAACCAGATGATCAGTTTCAGGTGTGACTCTAGATGTTTCTTATCATTATTTGCCTATGTTACTTTCGAATGGGGCATTGCGATTAGTAAGAGTGATTCCTTCGGTAGTGAACAAAAGAAATTACGTTGTTGATCCACATGACTTATTCTCGTCAAAGCAATATTATAGCGTCTCCTCAACCGCATACATAATTTCATAAGAATCTTCTGTGACGTGGACTAACCAACGATAAAAAGTGTAAGCTTTATGGGATAACGTAAGGGTATTACTGACATGGCTAAGGCATTTCATATTAAATTCTTCTTCGTCTTCTGAAGCTCAACGACAAATATATGCAAGCGTCGCTGTAGCAGCGGCTTTTGCAATCTTGGAAATTAATAATCCTCACGGTAAAGGCAATTTTTGAGGTTATAGCAGTTTGAAGGGAGGATTACCATTTATGTCTATTCTGTCAAACCAATGGGTTTTGTATGAAAATGCGTGTTATGGACAAGAGTGTGATTATGCAGGGGCGAGAGGGTTGGAAAATATAATTTCCCCAGCAAAAACGGTATTAAGCACATGCTTTGAAATAAAAATACGTAGTCATCGGTCAGAATGCAAGTGCAGATTACAAGCCTATAAGGCTTAGCCCACCACTTTTTACAGTTGTTTTTGACGTTTCGGATTAAATTCGTAAGTTTCTGTAAAAATACATAAAAGCTTGCCGAAAACGGTGAAGGCAAACTGCAAAAACCAGTTTAAGCTGAATAAAGGCAAATCTTTCTACCGATAAGTGTTAATATTATTATATTACAGCCATAGTTTTGTCAGCTTAATTTAACATCTGAGACGTATCCTGTTGTTTTTATGTTGATAGTCCCCCATGCCATTTAATGTCTGCAAGGTCACTAACATCTGGCTCGCCCAAGCCAACATACTTTGTAGCAACATGATAACCATAGAAATCCATTAAACTCCATACCTATGTTAATGCATTTACAGCAAACTCGATATTGGATCTTTCTAAATGTTCAGTAATCGTAACTTTACGGTTATCTAAATGATACCCAAAATAGTCATGCCAGTTCCGGACTAAGAGGAGCCATACCGAGTGGACTATGTAATTCGCATATCTACTAGAAGCATTTATAGCTAAGGTTCTGAGCGAGAAAGCATATCCATATTTGGGGAATCCCTAAACATGCGCTTTCGAGCATAGATAAGCAGGGTTGCCATATGTTCTCAAATTAAAATCGAATATAATTTGTAGAAAATCCGGAAACGTAAAAAAATAAATTTTGCTGACGTAATCATCATCTAGACCGCCCACTAATACCCTTGTCATCAAAAATAAGCAAAGCGAAAACCCTCCGCCCCACTTTATTGCTTACGCTTACGTAATACTTAAATAGCCCCATGATGCATATTGGAATCATTAAGGACTCGCTTCTTAGATTGACTACAAATTTGCTTACAACAAATACATTTTCATAAACGACTCTCTTCATTTCCTTCTTTATTTCCTTAACATCGTGGAATGCGTGTAACGATCACTTTTCCAAGGCAGGTATCTTCCTTCGTACATCGGATTGTTACGTAAGCGCTGGCAAACAACAAAGAGATACTTTTATTTCATTCTCATTTCAATTTTTAATTGCCGCATACCGCTGTTGGAATAGGCGTAGTCTAACAAAAAAAAGAACAAACAAAAGCATAATTGAGGAAATCGTAAAACACTGACAGAGCGTGCCTCGATACGACTTGTACGATGGGCGGTTAATGATATATTACGATGATCTTCTAGGGTAGTAACACCGGCAAGAAAAAATTGCGTATGAGTATTTACAAACCAATTTTGCATCAGTAAGCAAGAAGCAACGATTGAAGTTTTACTTTTGCTACTAAGTATTTCTCACGCGCATTATGTGTGAAGGAGTATTTGTTTAGAAGAATGAAAATTTGGAGTTTGTCAATTTTTTGACGTTAGTCGTCTTCTCTATACAGGGTATTCAGTAGATACTTAAATAGACTCTGTGAAATGGAAGGTAGTATGGACCAAGACCTTTTCACATTAAAAATAAAAATGTTTTAAGTTTAGTTTTTGGGCAACAATGAACCGATTGTGTTGAAATTTCGCACGATCACATAGCTACCTAGGAGTAGCGTAAAACAAGACGGACGGTTAAAAAATCCAGGACCAGACTCAATGTTTTTCTCTTTTTGGTCTCTTAACAAAGTCAACACCTTTTAAGCTGGATATTGAAAAAGCCAATGATAGAATGCGCCACTTTTAGTTTTTCAGTTTTTTGTTTTATTTATTTAATAAACAATCTATAAATTATATGGTATGAATGCCACTGCAAGAGGTGTACCATTAGTAACAAATCTGTAGATCAAACTAGTAATAGGTACAGCTTTCGTCCATCCAACTAGAGACGGACAATCATTTACTGCTGTTTCGTGCTGTTTGGCAGTGGGGACGCGTGACTTTTCCTAAATTGTTACCAAGACCAGATGAGAAAAATCTTATTAAAAAAAGTTTCCTGTGAACCTAACAAATATAAGTTTTTGTTTATTTTAGATACTTTATTTAAACTATTTTTGAATTAAGGTAAACATTCCTCGACTGAGCCTCTGGGGCACTTTATATATCTCATCGTCTTATTCTATGACTAATCCAAGACTTCCGAAAAAACAGTCGACGTTTCTAGACGTTCTGAAAATTCTTGATCTTTTTTGGCAATGAATGTTAACAATTCCCTGAATTTCCTCTATTGTCAGAGTCATCCCATTCAAAATGAACGGTAATTCCTGTATTGTCAAAAAACATACGGTATCTAGAAATGTGCTGCCTAAAAGCTTGGTTAAGACAACTTTCGATACTTGTTTTGCCAAACTGAATTAAATTGGCTACACATTTCACATGTAACGGAGAAATTTCATGTCTCCTCTTTAGAGACCTCAAACTATTTAAATCGTTGACTCTGCTGCTGGTCCACCCACTTTTTTCTGTATAAAACAGAAGACATCGCCAACAATACAATCTGTTTTTTGCAACCACATAAACAAGAGTTTCCATATACCAACTTAATTTAAAATATCAAACTGCGTTTTTTTATTCCTTTTTTAAAACTATCTAAAATAGGTGTTGGTCTTCCATTTTCAATGATCTCCTTTTTTTAAAAAATTATTCAAGGAGAATGACTTTCCAAGTAGTTGATCGATTACGCAGCGACACTCATCCATGTTTAATTGCACCCACACTACAGCCGGTAACCACAACGGCTACTAACGAGTAAGAAGTGAGTAACCAAATCAAAAAATGGTAACAAGCCCACATAATGTCGCAACGCCCCACGCACTCGGGCAACCGCGATCAGACACGAGCCGATGCCGACGGTCCCCGACGCACTACCAAATGTATCCATAAATGAAAATGGTAACAACCGACAACCAAGTCAAGGCGAGCCAGCTTCATCGTGTTCGCAAAACCTAGACACTATAGGGCGCATTATTTCCGTGGGGATAATTTGCTATTTACTGAATTACTATTACATATCGCTGTTGGTAAACAAATAAATGAAATTATTTCACAGTACTTAGTCATAAAATATTTATTTTTAAGATTTTTAACTGTCGTCGGTGGTAGTACGTTACAGGCGGTAATCGCTTCCACACCACTGTGATATCCTTTTTTTTTTAAATTATACAAGGAGAATGACTTTTCAATTAGTTGATCGATTACGCAGCGATGCTCATCCATGTTTAATTGCACCCACACCACAGCCGGTAACCAAAACGGCTACTAACGAGTAAGAAGTGAGTAACCAAATCAAAAAATGGTAACACGAGCCGGTACCGACGGTCCCCGATGCACTACCTAATGTATCCATAAATGAAAATGGTAACAACCGACAACCAAGTCGAGGCGAGTCAGCTTCATCGTGTTCGCAAAACCTAGACACTATAGGGCGCATTATTTTCGTAGGGATAGTTTGCTATTTACTGAATTACTATTACTTACATCTCGCTGTCGGTAAACAAATAAATGAAATTATTTCACAGTACTTAGTCATAAAATATTTATTTTTAAGATTTTTAACTGTGACCAATAGTAACAATGGTTACATGGACGCTTCGCCACTGCTGTCTGGCAACTCCTCAGGTATAGACTTGGGCTCAGGTAGGGCAAAGAATGAAAGCTGAGCAATTATCATCTATCCATATACCACTGCGAATTGTTTTCACTTTCGTTACCCGAGGTATCAGCTCATCCACCGCTGCAGAATCAGTTTTTTCGATGGAGTGGTTCTTCTACTGGCAACTTTGGTAGAAAGTAGGTCCAAAAACAATGCATAAAATTCTCCTAGACATGTGCTCTAAGATATCCCCTTATCGAGATTCAAGCTGATTAAGTTTTAATTTCAAAATCTGCGGACTGTGCGACTTGATCCCCCGACAGACAAGCGTCGTCGTCGGTCGTCGTACGTTACAGGCAGCAATCGCTTCCACACCACTGTGGGCTGCGTTGACTGTGCATGGTGAGGCCAATAACGTCATTCAGCGAGATTGGTCGTTACAACGAAGTTATACTCTGGATTTCCCTGCATACTACAGTTTTGTTATTAGTCAACTTAATGTCGAGTTGGTATGGAAAGTCAAATTTAGTGGAATTGCCATACTGCCCTCATAAGCTAAACCCCCGTATTCGGAAATATTGGAAAGTGGCGCAATATCAATTTGAAGTTTCTTTTTGTTTGTAGCTTTAACGGACGTCCATGGTATTAATAATTGATGTCCATATTGAGTAATAAGGGCTCTAAAATTATGTGGTCTACATAAACAACTTTGTTTGATTGTTTTTACAAGTATAAATTGCCATACGAGGAATTTTTTTAGTTCTGTTACACCAATTTCCTATGCAATAACCCCGTATTTGGCGAATACGGGCATTTGTTCTAGGACATTATCAAATTTATATTTGTCATAATAATCGTATTTTTGATATCAGTCGTTGGGAATTGAGGTACTTGGTAGATGAAAATGAATTTAGTAACACACCAGCTTTTAATTACTTTATTTTATGGTGAACACAATAAATATAATAAAAGAACACTTACTAGATAACTTTTTCTGGAAGTTTCTCCCAAAATTCTTTCCTGTTACCTGGCATAATGGAACCAACCGCTTTAAGCAGGTTTTCACCTTTTTGACGCTCAAAGCCATTTGGTGCCGTTTTTATTGGGGCTGTTGGCATTTCACCAATATGTTTTTTTAGCAAAAAATCTAGTTTCTTCCATTCTTCCTCAAAATTGCGTTTGTAGTACATCACAAATTCAGTCCTCTTTACCATTAATTCCGTTATTTTACTCATAGTAAAACTGGGATCCTGTTTCTTAATTTTACTAACTGAATGGAGACTTTTCCACAATTGAAAATCATTCAGTTTCATGGATTTGATTTGTACCTTTCCCTTATTGCTGGACTGTACTGCCTTCTCAAAGTCTGCAAAATCATATGTTTTGACTTGACGCTTTAGTGATTCTTCTACTTGGTGGTGGAACGAATCCGCCGACATAAAGGTATGACCTGGTTCAAAATAGTTCAAGTGAATGGTCTCAGCGGATATACTTGTTGAGTTCACAATATAAACAAGAAAGGAGAATAATGCCCAGTTTTTATTCTGGCTAGAACAATTGTCCAACCATAGAGTGATATTGCGGACATCCCTGTGGTGAAGAAGAAATGCGTTGAAGGCACTAATAATATCTTCTTGGTGTCGTCCGCTGATGCCTTCATGCCACAATATGGCAAATGGAGGAAAATCTCTAATTTTACCAACTGGCACAAAACTTTCATTGTAAACTATTAGGCGAGAAGCAAAGATCGCTTTTTTAAACATTTCAAGTCTAGGCAACATTATTACTTTTTGAAGATCAACAGAAAAGCACAAATTTCCTTTGTCTTTGTTGCAGTTTTCCTTATTTAGTGAGTATCTCTCACGAGATTCTTTTGCTTTCATAATGTGATCCTTCCAGCTGCAGCATACCTCGCAATCATCACTTAAGGACTCAGCTTTATGTTCGGAATTATGCATATGGTACGACTCACAGAGTTCACATTCCTCATTTCCTAATTTTGCGAACGATATATTTTTCGCCTTGAGGATTTTTCTATATTTTTCATAGGAGCAAATGTAATCGGGATATCTTTTTTTAAAGTCTTCAAACATGAGGGTGACATTCAAGTCACTCGGCAAATATAGACGATTAGGAGCATGGACTCTTCTATAGTGAGATACAGATGGATTAAATGAGTCAATATGGCTTTCTATAATCTTATTAGACAACTTGTTTGGAGGAGGATGCCTACCTCGGCGGTCTAAATCATTTTGTAACTGATTTTTGCTATTAGCATTTGCCCACACCGAATGGATTATCCAGTCATTCGTTTTTCTATATCCCAATGTTGTTAGGAAAAATATTTTACAGACACGTCTTGTTGTACCACTAGAATCCTTCAGAAAATATGTGAATGTCTTGTTTTTCTTTGAACCTTCTACTTTTCTCTTTGGTGTTCTATTCTCTGTCGAGTTCATCACAAATGTTCGTTTTCCCTTCCAGTCCAACTTCCAAAATTCGTGGTTTGTGGTGTTTCTCTCCTCCTCGGTAAAGAATGTCCGACATTTGAGCTTACAGTTTATACAGCCTTCTCTGACCTTATGAAGCGAGATTACCTTGTTTTTCTTAGTTTCAGCTCTCACTTCCTTGGACAGTTTGTATTTTTTTCTTTTTCTTTCTTCGCCTTTTTTTGTGTGGCCTTCAACTGTTTCATATGGATCTGAAATTATACCTTACAGGTGCAATAATGCTTGCTGTAGTAGTAGATAGTACACGCTTACCTGCTTCCTCATACCCTTTAGTTTCATTCTCCTCTTCTACAATCTCTGTTTCTTCTATTATTTGATTTGCATCATTTTTCATAGGTTCCCTTCTATTCTCATCCCCACGACTATCGTCTTCCATATTTTGAATATTTTTTTCTTCCACTTCCACATTTGCATGACCATCCACTAAAAAGTAGAAAAAAAGCTATCACTCTCAAAAGGACGGTCTATCGAACAGTAGTTGCTGGTATTTTTAATAACTAGTATGCAGTGCTCACCGTAACTTAAAATATCTCTGAGATTCCAAGATTCCTTGTCAATCACATTGTTAGATATATCTTGCAAGCAGTATCCTTTATTTGTGGAATGATGTTCTGGATCTGAAAATGAGCTATTTTGAATCAGGTCCTATCTTTATGTCGGTGGATTCGTTCTATCACCAAAGTATAACAATTACTATAACATCAGATCAAAACATATGGTTTTGCCGATTTTGAAAAGGCAATTGCCCAGTAACAAGGTAAAAGTACAGATTACATCTATGCATGGTAGTTATTTTCAATTATGGAAGGATTTCTATTCGGTCAGTGGAATTAAAATATGCACTAGCGTAGCCAAATTTTAGTTTTACTCACCAACAGTATCAGCTGAATCCATGTATCGAATAGTCATCGATCCATTATCAATTACGCAACTCTTGGTAATTGGTATGAATTCTTCCATCTGTACATCCTGTAGTACATCTTCATCACAATAATAATTCTGAGCGCTTAAGCAAGGCTCTTCCTCTGAATTCACTGTATTAACTTTGCACATTGTTCTAGATTTTATAAAATCGTTGTGGTCGAAATTGAGATCCTAGGGTAAAGCCACGCCACGTGCCACTTGGAAGTTACCAGCAAACTGATATTAATCAAACCGCCTGCGCCTGCACGCGTTGCGTACGACAGGTGGCGACAGGTCGACTTGCTAGGCTTAAACCACGTATTTGGAAGTTCCTAGACAAAAACCCCGTATCCAGTTAAAAATACGAGGAAAGCTCTTAGTAACCCACAAATACGGGGTTCGGCATTAGTATTTTTTAATTTTTTTGCGAATACGGGCTTAGCATTACTTGATTTCATACATTTCCGCTTCAGATACGGTTTTTTAACATAGAAAAAACGAAAATTCACGACATTTTAGTACAATAGAGCCAAAAATCTCGTTTTCAATTTTTTTTCAAATACGGGGTTTGGCTTAGGAGGGCAGCATAATAAATGATGTTTTTCTTTTTAACAAGAACTTGTGTTGTACAGTATCCGTTGGTAGAATTTTATATATATATATATATATATATATATATGCCTGTATTTCAGGTTTTCACCTAACTACAAGTACGAAAATTTAGAAAACATTCGTCTTTTATTTAACTCAGCGCCTTTACATCCATTTTCAAGCTTGTGAACATACAGTTTTGACAAGCTTTGACAAAATCGGCAAAGTGGTTACTGGGGTTCCGTAATGACCAGGAAGACAGTACATTATATGAATCATCGCCAGTCAGTGACAAAGCGGCTAAAAACTATTTTCCAACTCGCAACCTTGTTAAGCAAAGGATATTTGTCATCCATTGTCCATGCCATAAAGACAATAATGACATAAATCACCCTGTATAAATGCAATTACTCGATGCCATCACAAACAATTTTGTGCACCCTATTCCGAACATGCGCCAAAGTACGAAAGCTCTACCTTGTAGAAAGAAATTAAAAAGTGCGGCACCTCTTCAAGTGAGACACCTAAAGAAAGGACTCGAGTTCTTAGAAAAATGTCGGCAAATTTGGAAGTCAGAAGACCAAAGGCTTTTTCGCATGTGCCCCTTCTGCTGGTAACTCTGTATTCTTTGCTTTCTACGCCAGATATAACGCCACGGTTTTCTGAATGATCCTGTGTAAACAGCGTTGCGTTAGAAATGCAGAGTCAACCTACTTGACGTTATTTTTTGTTCAGGTGTAAGGCAAGCTTTCACTTTCAAACGCTCCCTCAATAACCAAAATCGAAATCGAGTGCATCCGAAAACATCAACGCATCCTGTCTGAAGTTCAAACATCCGTTAGCAGAGAGCAAATTTACATACCGGGTACCTCAGGCATCAAGGGAACCCTTTCCCTTTTTCCTGACCATTTTTTGTTTGGCGATGATTGTGATGTTAATTCAAACCCAGAGTCCGTTAATGTATGCTAAGAGGCAAACCTTTATGCAAACTACCTCTTTGACGTTTCAAAAACTTGACTAGTTGCATACAGGAGATTTTCTGTGACGTGTACAACGTACGCAAGGCGGATGGTATTTGTGTGTGGTTTGAAAGGGTCACCCTTACAAGCTGTTGTATAGCTCAGGTATATTGGTAAGCTACATAGCGATATGAAATATTAATCAATAAATTCCAGATTATTTTGGGTCGTGGTATATACAAGGTACTTACAAAACAATACTAATCAAATTATCAGAGACTTCACTAATTTTCACCTGAAAGCCTCAAAAGGAGGGTTACGTTTTTCGAACGGGAGTATGTATGTGACGTGTAGTGATGAAGTTTCCACCCGTTTAAATACCTAACCTGAGATTCACTAAAGTAACTGGTCTATGTGAATAGGAGCATGGATTTTAAACTTACTGCTTTCGTCCACCCAACAAAAGAAAGCTAACCATGGATAGATATTTCGTGGAGCATACCAACTATCTTCTATCGAAATAAGACAGCGCAAAGCGCCATGATGGGGTTTCATCAAAATAAATTAAAATTTATTCTTTCATCACGAGATATCAAGGAAAAGCAAGAAAAAACAGTTACTTTCCTAAATGGCTGATTTTTAGATGAAGTATCATCAAATGGAACTTCTGATTTGCGTTACTCGAAGATGTTGAGCTACTATTCCCGAATAATTATACCAAAAACTGCTCCTTTGTTTTGCATTCTAAAATTTTCTAGGTACCGTTCTCTGATATACTCGTATATGCTCTAAAACGTAGCTCCAATTCGACGACCTTCGTTTTTTTTACATTACTTTAATACGAATGCAACAAAACTTTGCTGGAGTTGGATATTCATGATCTATCATAGAATTATCATCACGCTTCATCTAATTTTAACAAGTATTGATACTATATTACAATAGAACTAAGGCATTCGGAGAAAATCCTATTTTTTATTTGCGTCTGAATATTAAATTAGGGGCCATGGTCATAAAATGTACCAATGAAAAAGAAGCATTTGCCCCATACTCGAAGATGGGCACAGTTCTTATACAATATTTAGATTAATATGACAGCAATTAAATGAGCATTTCGTTGAAAATAACGGTGTCTCAGTTGCTGTACAACATTCTACTTGATAAATCCTTAAAGGCATAAATAAAATTACAGATTACATAATCTCCATTAACAAACGTCTAGTTAAGATTCAATTTACTAAACTTATAAAAACCCTGTTTCTTAAGCCAGCTGTTAACAGGAAACTCTCGCACCCTCATATGGGCAGTAGGACGACTACTCGATGTTTAAAGAATAAGCATTCTGTAATTTTATGTCGTCAAAGGATTTGTTGAGCCGAATTTTGTACATAATTTTCCAAAAAATGCTCAGTAATGCCGTCTAGTCAATCTATTGTATCAGGTTTGATCCATGTTCCGAGTAGGTCACAAATCCTTCTTTTTGATTGATGGAATTTGCGTCAATTTTTGAGTCTGGGCACAATCGAAAAATGGGTTTTTGAAAAATTAGGAGCAAATCTTACAAAAATCTTATAATTTTTTGAGATACATTTTACAAGAAATTGGCCAAATTGAATCTAATAAATTTCTTTGTCCAAGCATTACATGAAAGACGCCTTCCTATTGGCCCAATTTGTAGCCAAACTGCAAATTTTGATACTCGCCGATACTCAATGGAAGGTGGTATACAATGGCATCCCAGAACTGTATTTTACTGATAACGTACCTACCACCGCTTATGCAGACCATTTACCAGTGAGGCTTGTGGCACATGAGAAAATTTCAGAAAATTCGGGAAAACGACGGCAGCTCTATCAAGGTTAATGCCAAACGCGGGAGGACCACCTTCCTTACCACAGTTTCATACTCCGCAGCTCTATATGCAGCACCAGTGTGGCATGAGCCGCTACAAGTGTAACAAAATCTCAGTCCTTTAGAGTCCGTGTTTAGAAAGTTAGTTATTAAAATATCAAGTTCATGCCTGTGTCTTTGGATGCTTGCTGACCACAACTGGTATGCCTCCAATAGAAGACCTTATGACTAAAGAAAGGATAGACACATATGGCAACAGAGGAAGACAAATCGCCAAGTAGCAAGGTCCAAGCAGAAAAGGTGGACAGTGTCAGGTAGAGGCAGCAGTAGATTTGGTTAAAAAGAAAGCATGGAGTGGTAGACTTCTACCTGACACAACTACACACAGGATATGGCTGTTTTGTGGCATACCTTCATCGCTTTGGAATAGATAAGCAGCCTACACAAATGATGACACAGGGCACGCCATCCTTGTGTGTAGAAGATGGGTAGATGAAAGACAATTCCTCTCCAATGACGTAAGAGAATTGTCAACCCCTGAAAGGATAGTTTTCCTGATGCTAAGAAACATCATAGAACATAAGCTTAAGACTGCCATAAGATAGACACAGGCAGAGGCATCAGCAGAGGTTTTTTACTGGGTAGGATCCCAAATCGCCATAAAGAGTGATGCATGCACTGGAGATCATAAAACATATATGAAGACCATCATGTTCTTCCTCCGCAGACAAAAAAGGGTGCTGAGTCAAAACACCTCATTCGTTAACAACATTGAATTTCCATATAGCGTCTCCTCAATCCACAACTTCTTCGTCGTCAGTTATTTGTATGGCATTGTGTAAAGTATCGACTCATCCAACAATTCAGCACCCACCGCTATTTCCTTCTCCCTTTTCTTCCCTTTCCCTTCTCCTGTGACAACCTGGAAAGCAGCCTTGTGTGCTCCTTTCCTGTACTAGTCTGCTTTCGCTTCAACTCGCACACATGTTTTCATATGTGACAGTCACCGCGCTGTGAGAGCTCGCTAGGCTGCGATATGTGGGGGTTGCAGGGGGTTGCGAAGGGGAGGCAGCATGGGCGGCAGCGGGAGCAGCTAGCAACGTTGCTATGGCGACCAGGCAGCAGGAGGGTGACAGGGGGTTTGCTCCCTCTCACACATACACAACACACACAGCCGATCACCCGAAACAACCCTCGTTCTAGTGTCTGCTCCGAAATAGCACAATATTGATGCAAGAAATTGAAAGTTCGGATTTGGAATTAATTTCATTTTTTGAAACACACCTCTAGGCACGTGGCAGACTAGAGTATACGGTATTTGGGATTTCACTATTACGCGCAAAAAATCTTGAGCAAATCGACAAATTATATACCATCCAAATAGTGTATAATTACGTGCCTTATTTGGAAACGTATGATGAAATTAAGGCCAATATTGAGACTTAGGGACAATCTTCCTGAAAATTAAGATAATCAAGACTCAACTGTCGTGAGTATATATGTAGCTGGTATAATAGTACATAAATACTATTTATGCTGCTAAATTTTCATGAAAAAAAATAGATGAAGTAGGTTGACTTTCCACGCTACGCCCCTATCAGTACATAAAGGGATATGATCAGCACAAACTAGACCATCCGGGAAAAAATCAGTCAAACAGGTCATTACAATTAGTCGATATACATTCTTTCTCTGCTCTACCGGTAATGTATCCGGGAACGTCGCCTGTCCCCGATACCTTACTCAAGCAGACGTGGTACGCAATCAGTCTCCCGCGATTATTCTTCTGTCTTCAGGGTTAATGTACAGATAAATGTGTGATGTGTGAATTACCAATGTTGGGAGCATATACATCTACCAGCATCAAAAAATTGAGGTAACCGTCCCCACCCCAAAGCTTTTTTACCTATAAGCCTGTGAATTTCAATGAAACATGGCAACTATGTAAAAGCAAACGATTGACAAAAGTCATAAATTACATAAAATAAAATAATAATTGGATCCCATTATGCAACAAGGAACCACCCGAAAAAGCGCAGAAAATGAGATTTCCACTTCATGTTAGCTCAAGTTTTTATGTATAGCTATAGGCAAAACATCTGTTATATGATTGTTGAGGATAAATGCTCTGGTTTTATGTTTATATAACGTGGTTTGTTGTGTGAATAGAAGGAGGTAGCATCAATAATAATTTTAGTTGTTCTCTTAAAATTCCCCTGCTATCAGCTGGTTTCTTGTTGTGTAACAAGATCCAATCGATGTTTTTTTTCAAAGTAATGTAATTCTTTGTCCCTACCCTGGCGTCACTTTTTTGCAGTTTCCATGTCATCTGTTTTTTCTACTCTTGTTCTTTTCATGCTTTCTACTTTTTGTCATTTCTTTACAATTAAAAAATATTACAAACAACAAAGCAATGGCTGCGACCGGCTTAACCGGTTGTGACGGATATATCCGCACTTCATAAATATTATTCTATTTTGAACATGACGAGTATATTAATTTGTGAAATCATTTTTAGTGGTCTCCTTCAAGGATATGCCAAATATTCTCGCCTGCGATAGCCAGCGTGATTCCGCACCATTTTTACGTTCGGCTCATGCATTTGCAACATTATGTTTACTCAGCGAACGACGCGGTAAAATCACTGAAACTTTTTTCTCGGTTTATCATTGTGAATCAGCAGATGAATATGACGATTCGAATAGTAGTAGTCTGATTTTGAAGACAGTTTTTCTGATAATTCGTTTGATGATAGCAGTACCGGTAGCCTGTATGAGATCGGAGACAAAGTAAACAACAATCCTCCACCACCTTTTGATGTTTCTTGGATACGAGTATACAATGGAGTTCCTCGTTCTTCTTTTCCGTATGACACAGAAGGCACACAACTTCCTATGAATATAAAAGATCCAGTCGCATTATTTGAGTTGTTTTTTGATGTTTATTTGATCGACCTGATTGTGGAGTTAGTTAGTTTAGTTGGTTTTCGTTAAATAAGACCAAAATCACGGATTCACAAGTGGAAAACAACTTATTCCAATGAAATACGAACCTTCATTGGGCTGACTTCTTTGCCTTTTTGCAAGCTATCTGCCCCAAGCTGTCATTTGAGATGTACTTCAGAGGCGAGAATGTATTGAAATGCCATTTTTTGTCAAAATAATATGAGAAAATCGATTCAGTCTAATACATACTTCGCTGACAACACTTTTATCAACGAAAATCCTCATATATGAAAGTTGTATGAAGTAAAACTCTTGTTCACCTACAAAAAAGTTTGTGAGTGTTTACATTCCTGGAAAAAATATTTCGGTTAATGAGTCCTTGATGGGATGGAAAGGATGCCTTTCATGGAAACAGTATATTCCTTCGAAGAGAAAGCAGACAAAATCTACGGAACCAAGTATAGTAATGAATCTATAGCGTCGCCAATTGTGCTAGAGTTGTCTGATAATCTTCTGGACAAAGGACACTGTCTGTTTCTGGATAACTTTTATACAAGCCCGAAATTGGTTGACAAACTGGTTAGGCGGAGAACTGATTATGTGGGAGCAGTGGGTATAAATCGAAAAGGAATACCAATCGAGATAAAAGCAAAAAAACTAGAAAAAGGAGAATGTGTATCCATCTTCAGAAGAAAACAAATGGTACTGAAACGGAAGGATTAACAAGATGTGGCGATGATCAGTACCATACATGACAACAACATGCTAGAAATTGAAAAACGAGAAGAAATAATAAAAAGCCAGAAGTTGTTCTTGCTTACAATAGGGATATGGGAGTGGTAGATTTGTCGGATAATTTCCTGCATTTCTATTCTCTTGAACGGACCAATTCGAAAAAATATCATGAAAAGATATTTTTCACGTACCTATTGTATATGACAGTACTGAACACTTATATTTTATATAAGCAAAACGGAGGTAAACAGGCAGACTCAACTTTATGATAGAGCTCGCAGAAAAATTGATCGAAAAATGTGCTGAACCCTACACTCAACAATGTACTCGGTCTAGAACACAAAAACTATCTCGGCTTGTAGAGCGACATTTCCCATCCATAATTCTACCAACGTCAAATAAGGAAAAGCCTACCAAACGATGTCACATCTGTCATGAAAAGGGAATTCGAAAACAATATAGATATTGGTGTTTGGAATGTAGACTGATTTGTGTCCCGCACCCTGCTTTAGTGTTCATGATACCAAAACCTTAGAGTAGTTTTTTTTTAATTATTTATCACTGTGATGATAGAGAATCGTACAGTATTTTTTTGCCTATGTTTCTAAGTGATTTAAATTTTTGTTTCTTTATAAAACATGTATGACCGAAGAAATAAAATAAATGTTTTCCTATTGTTTCCTCCAGTTTTGTTTATTTTTTTCTAGTCTATCAACATGACCTATACACTCGCAAGTGGCAATTTTAGCGGCCGTACGGTGGGAGCGCAGTAACATTGGAGTGCCCGGTTAAGAGTCTAAGAAAAATCCAACCTCCAAACACAACCGTTGCTCTGAAGACCTGTGAGCTGTCAATCAACATGATTATCTTGTTCCAAGGCCGATGGAACTGAAGACCTATTATACTCGTAATAAAGAGCTATTGAATCTATTATTTTTTTTTTTATATCGAAACAGCCGCGCAGGCAGAAGCCTAAATGCCGGAACACCGCGGCTGCTATGATGATCCCAAAGAAATTTTGTTAATACGATTTTTGAACTGCCTAAGGTTAGTAGAACTGGGAAAAGCTTCCTCCCGTAGATTGTTCCACAATCTAGACACCCTTGGGACAAAGGAGCGGTCGTATCGGCCAGTTCTGGATGTACGAAGTTTGACACGGCTAGGATGGGACGCCGAAGTCAGGCGGGTCTGTCTGGCAGGCACATCACGCGGCGGCATCATGGAAGAGAGCTCTGAGGAGCAAAGCCCGTTGGTGTAACGGTAGAAAAGAGCCAGATCGCCGACAGCCCGCCGGTGCGAAAGAGTCCCGAGACTGTCTGTTAGAGAAGAGTCGTCGATCAGTCGGACCGCCCTCCTCTGGACAGCATCGAGCATGGACAATGTAGTCGGGGCGGCAGCACCCCAAATGTGTGAGCAATACTCGAGGCTAGGCCTTATCTGGGCCTTGTATAGAGTGAGAAGGTCATGCGGAGAAAAGTACTTCTTAGCCCTAAACAAATAGCCTAGCTTTTTCTCAGCAGCTGCAGCTATTGAAGAGATGTGTTCGTGCCAGATCAGGTCATCGGTGATATGGACTCCGACCAGCCGAAATGAATGGCTCTTTGGTAGAACTCGACCGTCCATCCAAACTGTATGAGCGCTAGGACGCTTTTTGTTCGTCAAAGTACAGTACTGTGTTTTGGAAGCATTGAACTGTACAAGATTGTTGCGCCCCCAAGCAGTGATAGCCTCCAGGTCTCTTGTCAGAGAAGAAGTCGTCGCTAGTCTTCTTTTTTCCAGCTCAGCGGCAGAGATCGGCTTGTCACTCTGAATTCCTGCATGTAGAGTGCTGTCATCAGCGAAGCTGTGGATTGGGTTGATCGTGCAGGAAAGGAGGTCGTTGATATGTAAGAGAAACATTGTTGGAGCCAAGACCGATCCCTGGGGAACACCCGCGTTGACGTTGTGGGATGAAGAGGAGAATCCGTCAATTACGACGGATATCTTTTAATATATTTAGCAAATGGTACTTATACCGTGCTTAAAGTATATTTTTCATAGTCGAAATGTCATCCCCCCTTGGCCACACATGCTCTTATAGATATCAAAATCAAAATATTATCTGGCTCCGTCAAATATACAGTATTTATGACATAATGAATACGAAAACAAAATAAGCTATTTTTCTCAGTTGACAGTCAAAAACCCAGGTACCCTATATTCACCCTTATATATAAATAAGGAGAAAGGCACCATAGTGTCTTTGAACTAGTGATCACTAGCACAATAAAAAAGAAAACAACCCAAGGCGGTTCAAAGGGTACTACAGTTATTCGACAATAAAAATATTCTTTTTTCTGTGACGGGAAAAAAGTTTGACATTTTATCTCTGTTGACAGGTAACAAAATGTCACTTTTTATGGAATTACTTTTTCCTGGGAAAAAAATGAGTACTTTTTCCCGGATATTGATGGCTTTTGTTGTTGTACCAATTCCAAAAAATAACCCTATAACACGGTCTCCGATAAAGAACTGCATGTTTTTTTCATCTTCCATTCCATGAATCTTGAATACGCGGTTTCGTAAATTTTCCGCAATTTAGCTGGCAACAATTTTTGTGATGCTACTTTGACTACTTCTACACTTCTACTAATCCCGGTGGAGTCAAACAAAGCTCGGAATCAGACATTTTTTACTCGATAGTATTAACAGTAACTTATAAACAACCACTAAGTTCACAATTTTTAAATCAAATCACAAAATTAAATTGACAACTATTTGATTACTTTAAAAGTTTCCTTAGCAGCAGGTCTAATTCTCGCTATAAGTACAACATAGCCTACTAATTTCAAAATTCAGATTTCACATCGATAATTTTGTGTCTTAAATATGTAATAATACAATTTTCAGTATTAAATCGTCATCTTTCCCGTCACAGAAAAGCATTGTGTATTATACACGGGAAAAAGACTAAATTTTAGCTTTCGGTTTTTTGCTGCGCGTTGGGAGACAATACAATCTCAAGCCAATATCTAGTACTTTTTATCTTGTATAATAAATTACTATTGGAGAAATTGTGCCTACGAAGTTTCTCTTGGTTTTATACCTTTTTTCATCCAGTATCATAACATCGGTATTTTTAACCTCCCCCTTCTGTACAAGGCCCAGATAGGACCCATGTTTGGGGTGCTGCCGTCACGACTACGTAATCCATGGTCGATGCTATACGAGGGAGGGCTGTTCGACTGATCAATGGCCTTTCTCTAATAGACAGTCTCGGGACCCTTTCCCACCGTCGGCAATCTATTCTACCGCTATGTCAACGGGCTTTACTCCTCAGGGCTCTTCTTCATGATACCGCCTCGCGATGTGCCTGCCAGATAGTCCCGCCAGAATTTGGCCTCCCATCCTAACCGTGTCAAACTTCGTACATCTGGCCGTTACGATCGCTCCTTTGTCCCTAGAGTATCGAGATCGTAGAACCTGGGGCTTTACCAGCTCTAGTAACCTTAGGCAGTTAGAAAATCGGATTAACAAGGTTTTTTCAAGCTCCTCATAGCAGCCACCGTGGCCCTATATTTAGGTTTCTGCCCACTCGGAATCTGATCTCTCCCTGTTTTTCGGACAGATGTATGGGAGCAACTTTCGATGGATGTATTCAAAATTTAGACTGAGAAAGGTTTTTGATATTCTATTGAAAAAAAATGTCAAAAATTTTACGTATCTACAATTTCAACCAACACTTGTTTCTTGCGGAAACTGTGTCCGTAGATCATAAATCTGATATCGGTTTTTTACTGACTTTAATGGAAGACCAAATGCTGAATTCGTAGTTTCCACCACTCTACACTTTAACTGGTACACTTTCACTGATCCTTGTAGATCCCAATCCCTCCTCATACACCACATTCATCCACGTTCAAACACAATTTCCATTTTTTATGCTGACGTAACACTCCCTCTACCCCCTATCCTTTGCACCGCATCCGATGGTCCCTTATCTCCAGAGCATAACCGCCCGAATCACTTTGTATTCCATAATAAATCTCTCCTCCTGTATAGACGAAAACCCTCGAAGCGCGGCGTCGTTTTGTCGTCTTCTATATATGAAAAACGAAGCCGTTGTAATATCTTTCGGTTTGACGTTTCATCTTTAGTCAGCCTCAACTTGCCGTATGTGTATGTTTACCATCAGCCGATCAATATTGCTTTTCACTCACGCTCAGGTCTCACTGATTCTGAAGTAACCACAGTCAATTTTGAATAATTAACGTTTCAGATCATCACTACTTCTTGATTTGACGCGCGTTCAATCTTCCTCAATATCTTACATTACATTAAACTGTTGCATGCATACACCTATTATCTTAGTTGAATTGCAATGCACCGTCACTCAGGCTTAGGTCGTGCTCATATTTTAAGTTAGATCGCATCAATACCAATTTAGGATTGCATTCTCCGTTGTCTTACTTGCAATTTGATTTTAATATTATTAGTGACATGAAAGATGTCGATGCTGATTGTACGGACTTTTTGTTTGATAGATCAGCTGAACGATATGCTCAGATGAATTACATTATGTAATTGCTTCTTTTTTACTTCCTAAGCCACTCTACGAGGAGGTACTGTAATCAGTAAAAATTTAGAAAGCGAGAGATTGTTCTCTGGATATTACTTGAATGACATATGCATCACGAAAAACCATATCACTCATTTCTGTCGGTCTGTCGGTTTGTCCGCTAATTTTATAACCGCCTATAGCTTGAGAAATAGCGCTCCGATTTTGATGAAATTTTCACACAATGTTACTACTATGCCAAGGATGAAAAAGCTTTTGTAGTGTTTGAAAATCGGTCCAGTGCTGGCAGAACCCGACAAAAAATAGAATCGCTTAAGCTTCGCTTTTTGACGTTCCAGAGGCTTCTGATCATTTTCGGAATTTTTTTTGTCTGGGTTGAAACTCGGGGGTTGGGCATTGTAAGAGATTTTAAATGTAACGTCTTTAGTAGCCGTTAAGGACGTTCTATCACTAAGAAGCCTCTGATCTCAGTAACAACGGGAAAATTAAATGATAAAAGTCCGATGTATAATGTGCTCATAATTCGAATTAACTTGGCAATTATTGACATTGCGTGCACAGCGATATGCTACATTGTCGTGGAGGCCACTGCCGATTGTGCAATGAGTAACAAACTCCAACTGGCCTGAGATGGTGTCGTCACTGACACACCGTGATACAGTGTGTCCCAGATTCGCTTCTCTAT